TTCTCACGGCAAATAGAAAAAAAAAACGTTCCGAAGAATATTTAGTTATAAATTTGGCTGTAGAAAGAAAACTTTGAGTGATTTTCTTGCTTCGAGGAGTTCATCTTTGAAAAAAAAAACAAACACCGGGAGGCCGGCTGAAAGTAAAACAAAATAAACTTAAGCTTAAGCTTTAAGCTTAAAGACTCAGGATTTTTAGAGACACTTTAATACTTGTCTTCGTGAATGAAAATTGTTGTCTCTGTAAATGTTTTACCGAATTATATTTCTTTTATTGATTGTTAGTAGTCTCTCTTGCAATTTTAATCGCTTGTCCGTGGTGTTTGTTTTCATCGTTCATGAACATCGCTTGCAGGAGTACTTAGAAATGTCGCGCGTATCAAACGCTTTATAAGATTACACATCGTTATAACTGGAACCATTAAATAACAAAAAATAATGATAATAAATTCGTTATTATGTTGAAGCGTATCTCCATTAAAGTTCATTCAAACACTCGACCACACTGACAGCTCGCACTAAAAATGAGAACCGGCTGGCCGTATGGGTGATTTTGGAAATTTTTTGAACGGTTTCGCTAAAAGCCCACGATTGATCGTCCTGAACATTGAAAAATTGTGAAATGCCGTATTCTGTCCGAGGTCTGTATGATAAAAAGTACTGTTTCACCTCAGATGTGATGTATAAAAAGTATAAAAGGTTGGTTTACACACCCTCAGATTTGTTGGCAAGAATTTGTAAAGTAAACCTGTCGAACGCAAAAAAATGCGGCCTGATTTGTTTTCCAAGAATTTGTTTTCGAGGCCTAATCTACTGTGATCAAGAGCCATTATGGCTCTTGAATGTGATAGAAGATGTTTGCTATTTTTTGGGTGTACATATATTTAGGCTATCAACTCAATGTAAGATGTTTCACTCTAAAATAACTTATCCTTTCCCTCAAAAGTCACATGTATGTGCCCTTAAGTTAACTGATTTGTGGATTACAAGTTTATTGTTTGATTTAAAAGATAAATTTATTAATGGGAGCTTCGCTTTTAGCCCTGGCTAAATCTATATATTAGTATTTAGTGATCTTCATGAGACTAGAATAAGAACTTTTTTGATCGTTATGATGAAGGTCAAAATATACATTGGCAGTGTTTTCGAAGTAGATTTCTAGAGTGAAACTGGATAGCTTACAACCGTTTTCCTAAAGACTACTTTTAGATTGTAACCAAGAAGAAATATAAGCAAGTTGAGTATGAACGTAGTTATGAATAGGACTGTTGTTGTTGACAGTGACTGACGTTTCGACAACCTGTGCGGTAGTCATCTTCAGAGTCAAAGTGAGTTGTATCACGTCAGTGGATGGTATTAAAATCTGGTCATTGAGCTGATTGGTCCTGATTAAGTTGCGATGTTATTAGACTAAGTAATGTTCACTCGTTAACGTTCACCAGGACGATCATACTCACTGGCGGATCCAGGGTAGTGGCCCGGGCCCCCTCCTTATTTTTAGACCAAACTGAGGCCTGAAGGGCCGAAAAAAAAATTTTGGAGACCGTGCCGACCCCCGCCCCCTTCCTTATCTCAAGGTCTGGATGACCGGACTCCCCCGTTATCTCAATGTCTGGATTCGGCACTGATACTCGACCTACTTATGGAATGACTCCTGGGTTCAAACCTTTCACACAAGAAGCCGGTTGATAATTTATGGTTTTATTGTAACTTGTGTAAATCTCAATATGATCATGATCGTCTTATCAGCAGATCGAAACAAAACACACCTCACAACATGGATTTACGGGCTTGAGACTATTTGAGTTGAAACTACAGTTCCCTAGTACGCCACTCACACCTTAAGGTCGACGGTCTGAATTAACAGTCGAATTTTATAGTTTGGGTCGACTTTAGCGGGTATTTGGTTCAGCACATGTTACAATGTTGGCTAGTTATTTACAAAAAAAACGAGCTATCAACCGAAACGAATCAATTTGTTATCAGGAAATATTGAGACTTTTTACGTTCATAGATTACTCTTTCCCCATTAAATGGGCAGGCATTACACATTTTCACAGAGCTTACGATCCGAAAATAGGCTAACGTGTACGCTAAGTTAGGAGGGAATGTGAGAGATTTATTCCAATAATAAGGGGTGGCATATTCAGTCGGTCCTATACAGTGAATAATCGCCGGAAAGTGTTAAGTGGACGTCACATATATCTTACCCTACCTTGCTTTGATATGCTTCGTTGAGATCCTTCGCCTTCAAGAAAAAGAACGTTTCCTACTACGGGAAGAGAAGTGAAGCGAGGACCGCTTGGCATGTTTCTGGACTCGTACAGTATCATCAGATAATGTAAAATGAACAGTAGAAACAAGGATTAGGAAACTGTCAATCGTGGCGAGTACCATTTTAGATGCTGGTGTTCTTATCAAATCAAGTGATCAATGCAGTAAAGCTGAGGTCGAGCACCACTCAACAACAACTGCGCCATTATCTATTTTGTGCAGGGAAAGTCACGCAACCCCTCACTTACGACAGACAATCACCCTATGCCTAACCTCGTTCCCAGGCAGAGGTGCCCTACTGGACTAGAAAAGACAGACCATGGAAACAAGTGACAAGTGAACCGTTTTTTTTTTTGGCGGGGAAATTGTTTCCAGTAAATCCTGTTTTGTTCTGCAGAATGTGTAAATAATTTCCAGTTTTTTGATAGCGTATAGTTCTGTTATAGCATGGGATAAGGTGCTGTTTTCAAAGTAATATTGTCTGCCTCTAAACCTTTCAAAAAGGAAAAAGACGAAATGACCTGAACTGCACATTTGCAATTTACTTACTATGTATGTAACTTTTTCACGCAATTAATAAAATGTTTTTAGACTTCCTGCCTTGACTGCCTCCCACGCCGTTTGAAACCTCACTAACTACTTGATTATCGACTAAGCATACGTTCATTATTATCTTTGATAAACGAATAAATATGTGGTAAATAAGTGCTACAGGTGTTATAATCAGCCTGTCACAAACAGGGGACAATATGCAGGATGCATTCATATAAATGTAACCTTCAAGAGTTTTTATGTTGCAAAGTGGATAGAGTATCCTCCTGGTGTTTAGCCTGAGATCATGCCCTCTCCCTGTTATCCCTTTGTGTCTCTCACGGAAAGAGGGCATGACACATTTCTTTGTCGGATCACATGTAAAAAAGCCAGAATCTTGACTTTTTTCTGATTGGATAGGAAACAATGTGGATGATTTGCGCTGTTACGATTGGCCAAAATTCCGCTATCCGTTAGTTGTTGTTGATTTCAGTCTGCATTTTTGCCTGCCAAATGAGCAGTGAATACACACGCGAGTTCGTTTTGAAATTTCTGCCGGCCCAGTTTTCTTGAATTTGAAGAATGCCTAAATAGGAATTTCATCCATTGAAATATTTTCCATCTCATCGTATATTAAAAAGTTGTAGTAAAAAATTCACCATCATCATTTGAATGCAATTTGATACCGGCTGCACAGTTTAAGAAGCGACAAACGGGTTCACTTTTCAAATAATCAATTCATGAGTGGAATCTTGACCAGGTTTGACTGTAATTCCTCCTTCAGAAACCTGCGAATTATTCGGAGCGAGCTCCTGGGAGCGATCTTCGCTTTCACAACTCCTTTCAGTTCGTAAAATATGGTACTTCAGCCTAATTTTTTTTTCACTGTTTCGGCACAGAACGAAGTCAACGAGCTCTTGCCAGTAAATTCTTCATTATTTGTAGCTGTTAAGTCAAGGTACAGCAGCTGCAGCAAGCAGTATTTCATCAGAAAAACAACACATTTGAAATTTTTTTTTAGGAAGCGCCATCTGAACATGGACGTACTTAAAAATTTTCTTTTCCCTAAAATTGATTTCAAAAGAGACATTATTCGCGCCAAAATTTGATTCCCGTCTTGTAAACGCTGATTGGCTAATAACAAGACAGGTAAAGCAGACGTTAGATTATGTGAATTAGGGGGCGATTGACGGCTTGTTAAATAAATGTATCAGGCGTTATTTTTTCCCCTCGGTCCAAAGGAGCAAAGAAGCAAAAAGAAAAAAAAAATCACGCCTGATCTCAGGTTACCTGGTGTTCAGAGGGCCGTAGGTTCAAACCCTGTGGGGAACCCGAGACTTCTTCTTAGTCCCACGCTCGTGACGAGGTGTTTATCACGTTTTTCACATTAATTGTTTTTGTTTTAAAGGAACCGAAACTAACCCAGAGTTATTTCTATTTATCTATCTGCTACAATAGACGTCCTTGTATGTTTTGCCGTTTTCCCAATAAACTTCAGGCCACATGACGTTCCCATCATCATTTCGCGCCCAAAAAACAGGGTGTTTTTACGTTGGTAGTGATCATCTTGTATTGATCCATCAAGAGGAAAATGGTCCATTTAATGCAGCACAGAAGAATACGTTTTTACTTCGAAAACATACATATTCCAGGGCACTTTAAAAATAGTTATAACATAGCGATTACCGTAATTACAGACCATGTTCGGTATTTAACCTGTCGCTTAAATCTTCTTAAACAGTATTACAGCTTTGCTTTAATCAGAGTTCGACATGAGTGTTGGAACCGTAGAAATAATTCATTGCATATAGGCTGTCAACTTTGACGCAAATCAAAAGTGTTATAAAGTGAAGTTTTTGTATTTGACTTCACCTTTAACAAGCATCAAAAGTGTTGCACAGCCACCACATCCTTGAGTTCATCTGTGACGTACGTAAAGGTGAAGTTAAAATTGTTACGTATTTGGCTTCGCCTTCACCAAGGTCAAAGGAGTAAGCAAAGAGGTTATATATCTGTCGGCACTGATTGAAGCGCGTCAAAGGTGAATTCAAAGCCAACTACCATATTTGACTTTACCTTTGACAAAGATCAAAAGTGGAGTAAATCCAATTCTTCGTCCCATGTAATGTTAAGACATTATTAAGACTGTGCTTTTACTTTATACCTGCTATCGTAGAAACCCTGAATAACAGGGTTCATGTCCACTTTCTTTTGATCGCGCGTATCTTGTAGGGAACTGGAAATTGGGTGAGGTTAAAAATTCCCTCCAACTTTGGGGGACAACCATCTTCTTCGGCAACAAAGGTAAACTTCTGAAGCATCCACGACAAGAACAAAAAAAGCTCAACTTTCGCCAGAGATTCCCCTGCACAAACCCGGCGTCCAGCTCCAAAAGGGAAGAAATTACCTTGGTTGGTGATCAACTGCCCGTCCTCGTCAATATGGCGGTACGGATTAAAAACGGTGGGATCTTCCCAACATTTGGAATTCAAATGGACGGATTCCGTATCAACAAAGACGATGGTATCTTTAGGAACCTTGTATCCACAGAGGGTTGTGTCTGTGAGCGTGACATGAGGAACTGCAAGTGGAACTACGTTTCCAACTCGAAGGGCTTCTATAATGGTCGCTTGGAGGAGAGGCAGACGAGTCCGGTTTTCCAAAGAAGGAGTATGGTCACCAACTTCTTCATCTAACTGCAGTTGAATGGTTTCTTGGTACTTTGGGTAGTTAACTAAGAATGCTAGCACCCATTTCATTGTCGTGCTTGTGGTTTCATAGCCTGCAGCAAACATATCTTCAATCGTGTTGATAAAGTAGTCATTAGTAAGGAGGGCGGTTCTATCCTCATTGCTCTCACTTTCAGCTTCAAGTTTGGCATGAAGGAGACCTGTAATTAAATCTTTTACTGGTTTCTCTGGATCAAAATTCCTTTTCCGTTCATTCAGAAATTTGCGAATTATATCAAACATTTCAAAGAAGGGGCCTAAATAGCGTTCATAAACTTTTATTGGCAAGTACTGTGCCAAGGGAAAAAAATCTAAAATCGTTGCCATCTGAGAAAGATCAGCATTCGCTACTGAGTCTACGTTTAATTTCAAAAGCTTGTTCAAATCTGGATTGGTTGTGTCGTAACCTTCTCCAAATGTGATGCCACAAATGACATCGGCAACAGCACGCATCAAGCAATCTGCAGGATCAAAGGGTTGTCCTTGCTGTTTCTCCATGGAAAGAACTAACTTTTCGGCTTGTGTATTAACGCGGCTTTCTATCAGGGGGATGTCCGAGAGGTACTGGCGAAGAGCTGTGGTAAACAGCTTGCGATGAAGCTTCCAGCCAGGACCATAGTTACCAAAAATAATATCTTTACCACCTGAAACATTCAGAAAAGGGGAAAATATGACACCTTTTTTTAATAGCAATGATTTCAAGTGACGGTTTTTCTGGTCTTGTATTGGTGTGAAAACCAACCTCAGTACAAAAAGGTGATCGAGACATTTAAACTATAATGAATGATGGATGTGATTCAACCCCATATTTACTACCTGAGACTGAACTCAAATCCCGCCAGTGAGTTTTGTCTTGAACAAATTGTGTAACAAAGGTCCTTGGACGTGAAATGTACGCAACTTATGAGATGCCTTTTCAATATTTATGAATTTTTTACTTAAATTAGAGCGACATCACGATCGCCTAAATGTTTACAATTACATACCAAGTGTTCCTTCCATTAACGAGTATGTTTGTTGTCTCCCAGCATAGTCAGCGGATTTCTTTATGAGCACCTCCTTAACAGCATCAGGAGTTGAAGCCATAACGAACTTGTAGCTTCCAAGTTTTATCGAGAATACGCGGCCGTAGTTGTCTTTGAGACTGGAAGAAAAGTAGAGTGGTATTGTTTGTGCAACAATTTATTATGCTTTCTTCTGAAACATCTACTACAAGTAAATAATTTTGTTACGTTCTTTGTACTTGACTACAGAGAGTTCTTATGAAATCTACAAGTTTCAAAACTTATATTTTGCACAAGATTAAGCGAAACAGCAGATCGACTACGTACATGTAGGCCAAAAGTTAAACTTTTAATGAGACGAGCCAAATAGTAATTTGGGTTGACATAAACTAAAGCAATTCCCCAAAAAAGGATAAACTGTCCAGATTCTTTTCAAACTTGGCACAACTGATAATCATGTATAGGACATTGAAAAAAGGCAGAAGATAGTTTGAAACAAATGATAACGATCGCTTAGTTCACTTGATTTTTCATAAAGAGGACTGGACAAAACTGCCATCCTGGTTTAAGAGCCAGTCTTACGTGGAGTCCTACCGCGGCACTTTGAGTACAGTGAGTTTATTGTAACGGCTTTAAAAACGTTTGTGCTTCTAATGTAGATCTATTTATTGAGAAATCTTGAAAATTTTAGCTGTCTATTGTATCAGATACATAGCCACTCATTAAAATTTTCTTTAGACTACGTATTAACCAGAAGTAATCACAAAAAATGGAAAAGAGGTCGGTTAAAGTTTATTACATCAATTCTTTTTAAAGATTGTGACCTTAGGCTTAGTTCACGAAACGTCGAACTTTTCATGTACCGAACTTCATTAAAATAATAGCGGATTCGCGCGCGTGGACGGAGCCCATAGCTAAGGAAACGTTGTAATCTACCCATCCGAGCAAATTTGGTAATCACGTGACCGTGCGCCCGACCGAAAATCCGTCCGCACCACAGGGGAACCAATGTTCAATCTCACACTTTCTAGCTAGTTTGGGAACACAGGAAAATTGATATTGCAGACATATTGCACATCAATGTTGTGATCAACTAACAGCTGTCAAAGCAGAGTATCCGCTGACTAGTATCACCTTACGGTATCGCGGGCTCAAGTGTTCTCCCGTCGAGGTCGAGTATCTTTTTAAGTTTTCCGCTGACAAGTTACTAGATTTCAAATGATCGCGGGCTCAAGGTTTTTTTTCAATTCATGAAATATGTTGTGCTTGTGTGCTGCACAATTATTCAAGCTGACCTCGGACGCGAAAATTCAGTAAGCTATTACAGGCAGGGAAGACAGTTGCTTTTGACTTTTCTCACCATGGTCACGCGTCCAATTTTTATGCTCTGATTGGTCAAAGTTTGACAGGTGAGTTCATGCGGAAAATTTATGCTGCATCTTGAAACTTGTTTACTTTGACAGCTGAAGCTGACAAAGTTTTGTGTCAACTTATGATGTTTTTACCTGTCTTTTTCTACTGGATGTACAAAAGGAAATTCAGCTGTTATCAAGAGTCTTCTGTTTTTCATGGCTAGTTTGTTTATTGGGTTTTTGGTTTAGAAATACTTCACTTGTCAAAGTCGGAAATCCGATTTTGGATGGCATCGTTTTCGTTTTTCACCTTGCTTGGTGCATAAGAGGGTTGAAAAGTCTGAAGCGATTCTTACCCTACTTGATAGCCTCCAGAAGCTGCATCTTGAATGGTAAGCCTGAGTTATTATTGTATTTGATGTTTGTTTTTTATGTCTAATTTAACGAAGTCGAGCGTAGTTTATGCACGTTTGTAAGATTTTAGACAATCAGATCTGACCGAGTATCAGGTTTGATATAAGCTTACAGAACTTTAAAAAGCCTTTAGACATTTTCTCACCGCAAATAGTTCTGGCTGTGAAAGAAAGCTTTGAGCGATTTTCTTGCCTGGAGTTCATCTCTGAAAAAAAGCAAACACCGGGAAGCCGGCTTAAAACATAAACTTAAGCTTTAAGTTTGAAGACTCAGGATTTTTAGAGACACTTAAATACTTGTCTTCGTGAATGAAAATTGTTGTCTCGAGTATACGTTTCACCGAATTATATTTGTTTTTTGATTGTCTTGCAATTTTAATCGCTGTGCCGTTTGTTTTCAGTCGTTCATGAACATCGTTTGCAGGAGTACTCAAAATGCCGCGTATTAAACACTTTTGAAGATTACACATCGTTATAAAACCACTAAATAAAAAAGAGACATAAATTCTTTATTGTGTTGAAGCGTAACTCTATTAATATTCATTCAAACACTCCACAGGTCACAACCGGCCGGCAGAATAGGTGATTTTAAGCTAAAAGCCCACTCGTGCTTCGATCGTCCTGAATATTGAATGAGTGAAATTTGTATTGCAAAATTGTGAAATACTGCATTCTGTCTGAGGTCTGTATGATAAAAACAGCGCCTCATAGTACCGTAAGTTTTACCTCAGATGTGATGTATAAAAGGTTGGTTTACACGCCCCCAGATTTGTTAGCAAGATTTTCTAAAGCAAACTAGTCGAACGCAAAAAAAATTGCCCTGAATTGTTTTCCAAGAATTTTTTTTCCAGGCCTAATCTACCGCGATCACGAGCCATTATGGCTCTTAAATGTGATCGAAGATGATCGCTATTTTTTGGGTGTACATATAGGCTGTGAACTCGATGTAAGACTTGGTTCACTCTTGGACTGTTTGCAAATTATTTTTCTCTAAAATCACTTAGCCTTTCCATCCCTCAAAAGTCACATGAATGTGCTCTACAGTTAACTGATTTGTGGAATACAAGTTTATTGTTTGATTTAAATTACAAATTTATCATTGGGAGCTTCGTTTTTAGCCCTGGTTAAATACCTATTTAGAACGACCCAAATGATACAAGTTCGACGGTTGATTCAGACGTCACCTTAGTCGGACTCAATTCAGATATGTAGGACTTAATTGATTGAAACGTCGATCCCTTCATGTTAATTGAAGGGAATAGGTTCGGTACATGAAGAGTTCGACATTTGATCCTGGCCCATTAGTTTTTAGCTCATGGATGACATAGTCATGCCATGGGCTTTCGGAGGCACTCGAACGTAGCGAACGGCACTCGATCACTCACTCACTCACTCACTCAATTCTTATTGATTTATTCATTAAAGTCAAATTAAACACTACTCTTACCTCCCTTACTTAGTATTGCTTTTGCTCCAAGTGCCTTTTACGCATATGTTTGGCATATTCTAGAGGGTACTAGTAAGGCGTAGATTTTTTCCCGACGCAAAAGAGTGGCCAGCTGAAGATGGGTTTTGTATAAATGGAAATATTCTAAAGAACACTGACAATATCATCTCCAAGGAACGGACTTGGAATTGTTAAAAGGACATTGACATAATTGAGCGCAGATCATTGTTTTATATTTGGACGAATTGTGCACATTTGTTGCCGATATTACTTGATATGGAGAAGATGCCATGGACAGGAGTGTGAAAGAGCTATCGAAGCCTGACGATGGGATTTCGTTCAGCGAAAAGCGAATAAGCCAAAGAGCCTTAGCTACAAAGAAAAGATCCTCGAATTGTAAATGACGTTGACATTCACATGAGCAAGCAAATTATTTCACAAGTAAAAAGCGTTAAATAAAAATGCTGCGCTGATAACAAGTTTCTAGAATATTCAGGTGCACATGCAATCGGATACTTCGACTGTGTCGGGTTTGAATTCCTAAGGTCAGAACACGTACAGCTTCGGGCAGGGATCTAGCTCCCTTAAAAGCGTGAGTGCTATAGAGATGCTAAAAAGTTACCGAAGAAATGCTGACGAAATACGAAATGCTTTTTAAAACCGACACTGTATGCCAAAAAGCAGATGCCAAAAACCAAATGCTAAAGAATGCAAAAATGATCTATCAAGTAACCAACATACTGAGAAAGTCATGAAATATTAAAAAAACTAAGGTGGAAAGTGAATATGTTACAGTACCCAAGCAGTTTAAAACAAATGAATTTCAAAACGGAATGTTTCTCAAGCCTTCTATTTACTATAAACATGATCATGAGGTTCTATTTGTTAACTTACGATATTCACTATTGTTTTTACATGTTATTGTTAGAGACCGGGTCAGTCAACCGAAACTAAGAGAATATTGGGACTGTGAAAGAAAAAACATTGCCACGTTCGTGGAGTTTTTATTTCTGAAAGAGATATATAGGCTAAAAACGCTACATTGAGCACGTACTTGTACGTAGCCCGATTCTCCGATGGCCAAAGGTTGGCTCTTGTAAAGCGTAAACCGTCGGAGAATCATGTTAACATGCACGCCGCCCAAACTTGGAGGTATTAAATGAAAGCGAATTATTTTAATCCTACTAACGGCTTGCAAATTCAGGTACTCTTCAAGCAAGTTGCTCTGATACTCTGAATCATCGACGAAACGTTTGCTGTATTAACCCTGATGGGTCAAACGGGCATTACACATTTTTACTGACCTTTGGAAAGCATCGTTAAGTTTCTTCGCCTTGAGGTCGAGGGAGAGAAAGTTTCCTAATATGGGAAGAGTTGTAAAGCGAGGACCCGGAGGCATGTTTCTGAACTCGTAGAGGATCATCAGGTAATGTAAAATGAACAGCAGAAGCAACAAAAGGAGAATATTTCCGAGGCTTAGGAAACTGTAAATCGTGGCAAGTACCATGTTGAATGTTCGTGTTGTGATAGAATCACTGATCACCTCATTTAATACTGGGTGACCGCTGAGCAAAAGCGTCCATATCTAATTTTGCTTAATTTGTGCAAAGGAAGTCACGCAACGGCCCTCAGTAACGATCAACCACACAAATTTGAAAAAATTAACTAGGTAACTAAAAAAAGGTCTCTTGCCCTACTTTTCTTCCGCCAAAATAAACAGGATTAATCACCTTTATCAAAGTGCCGACGACGAAAACATGCTACCAAACTTTTATAATCATTATTGCCCATAATACACCTTACTTACCCCTATCCCAACACCCACCTCCCCCAAACACTCCACCAAAAAAAAGAATTACATACCCATTGTTTCCAATTTCCCCTGGGTAGAACAGTCGTCGGGAGAGAAATTAAAAACAATGCTGATGCAATATGAAAATGGTAAATCATTACTGCTAATAGTCAAAAAAGCAGAAGAAAACCGTCGAGAGTCAAGTGAAGATAAAGAGTTTTCCTTCTTATAAAACATTTCGCCAAAAATAGGGTGTTCGGTAGGATCCAGCCTCCCATCGTCTGATTGTGCGGTAGTAGGCAATAACGTCGGTGGTGATCATCTTGTATTGATCGGCGATCAAGAGGAAAATGGTCCATTTAATACAGCACACACAAAAACAGTTTTTACTTCAAAAATGTACATATTCCAGGGCACTTTCAATTAGCAATTATTGAATGAGGCTGAGTAGGATATGAAGAATTCTGCAGATCGAGGACGGTGTTATCCACCGAGGCCGAAGGCGGAGTTGGATCACACCCTCCCAAATCTGCAGAATTCTTCACATCCTGCGATAGCCGAATTAAATAATTGCTTTATTATTCATTCAAAATAATTCAATTTTAAAAACAGATTTAATAGCAGATGTTGTCCGTCGAGTTGACTTTTCGCTGTTCTTGCTATTTTTTTAGATAACAATTCGCCGTGAAACGAGTACAATGTCCGCCCGACAGTTCCGCCATTTTGTTCAAACAACCAAAACAACTCAACTTCGTCCCCAGGTTTCCTCGATCAACGGTTCAATATAAGAAATTATTAAACCGATGACGTCATTTTGACGTCATCGGTTCAATATGACAGATTAGCCGCTGGTTATGGTGAATAATGCGTGTGGTTTTACCCAATCAGAAACGGGGAAATGTTTTGAATGAATAATAACAATAGTTATCAGACAGCGATTACCATAATTACCGATCATGTTCGATATTGGATTTGTTTCTTGAATCTTCTTAAACAGTATTACAGCTTTCCTTTTACCAGTTTCGACATGAGTGATCGAAACCAAAAAACAATTCATGGCATATACTATGTGTCAACTTTGACACAAATCAAAAGGGTTGAAAAAGTGTAGTTTTTGTATTTGACTCCATCTTTGACGTACGTCAAAGGTGAAGTCATAATTGTTACGTATTTGACTTCACTTTCACCAAGGTCAAAGGAGTAAGCAAAGAGGTTATATATTTGGTGGCACCATTGAAACGCGTCAAAGGTGAATTCAAAGCCGACTACCACATTTGACTTTACGTTTGACATAGATCAAAAGGCCAGTAAATACAATTCTTCGTCTCATGTAATGTTAAGACATTATTAAGACTGTGCTTTTACTTTATACTTGCTATCTTAGAAACCCTGAGTAATAGGGTTCGTGTTCACTTTCTTTTAATGGCGCGTATCTTGTAGGGAACTGGAAATTGGGTGAGGTTAAAAATTCCCTCCAACTTTGGGGGACAACCATCTTCTTCAGCAACAAAGGTAAACTTCTGAAGCATCCACGACAGGAACAAAAACAGCTCAACTTTCGCCAGAGATTCCCCTGCACAAACCCGGCGTCCAGCTCCAAAAGGGAAGAAATTACCTTGGCTGGTGATCAACTGTCCGTCTTCGTCAATGTGGTGGTATGGATTAAAAACGGTTGGATCTTCCCAGCATTTGGGATCTAAATGAACCGATTCTGTGTCAACAAAGACGATGGTATCTTTAGGAACTCTATATCCACAGAGGGTTGTGTCTGTGAGCGTGACATGAGGAACTGCAAGTGGACCTACGTTTCCAGCTTGAAGGGCTTCTATAATGGTTGCTTGGAGGAGAGGCAGACTAGACCGGTTTTTCAAAGAAGGAGTCTGGTCACCAACTACTTCATCTAACTGTCGCTAAATGTCTTCCCGGTAACTTCGGTAATTGACCAAGAATGCCAGCACCCATTTCATTGTGGTGCTTGTGGTTTCATAGCCTGCTGCAAACATGTCTTCAATCGTGTTGATGAAGTAGTCATCAGTGAGGAGGGCGGTTCTGTCCTCATTGCTCTCAACTTCAGCTTCAAGTTTGGCATGAAGGAGACCTGTGATTAAATCTATTACTGGTTTCTCTGGGTCAAAATTCCTTTTCCGTTCTTTCAGAAATTTACGAATTATATCAAACATTTCAAAGAAGGGGCTTAAAAAGCGTTCATAAACTTTTATAGGCAAGTACTGTGCCAAGGGGAAAAAATCTAAGATCGTGGCCAGCTGAGAATCATAAGCATTCGCTGCTGAGTCTACGTTTAATTTCAAAAGCTTGTTCAAATCTGGATTGGTTGTGTCGTAACCTTCTCCAAAGGTGATGCCACAAATGACATTGGCAACAGCACGCATCAAGCAATCTGCAGGATCAAAGGGTTGTCCTTGCATTTTCTCCATGGAAAGAACTAACTTTTCGGCTTGTGTATTAACGCGGCTTTCAATCAGGGGGATGACCGAGAGGTACTGGCGAAGAGCTGTGGTAAACAGCTTACGGTGAAGCTTCCAGCCAGGACCATAGTTTCCAAAAATAATATCTTTACCTCCTGAAACATTCAGAAAATTAAAGGGGAAAATATGACTCTCTTTTTTTCATAGCAATGATTTCAAGTGACGGTTTTTCTGGTCTTGTAATGGTGACGGATTTAGGAAAGCAAGTCTTTCGAAACGGCCTTTACCCAATTGCAAGTAAAATTAAAAATAGTAACGCGATTCCCTGAGCTTCATCATAAACTGTAGATGACCGAATCTCAAACAAACACTGACATCCAGCTGGCGCCTTAAAACCGCCCACGTTATTTGTCAATTTCATCTCGGTTGTTTGGAACGATTTAGATGATCGAGCTGTTCTGCACGTTCAGAAGAAAACCAGCAACCATTCAGATTACCTGGATGATCATCTGAATACCTACCTTAGAAAAGAAAGGTGTTTGAATTATGTAACAAAGGTCCTTGTGCCTTGTACGTGAAATTTACGTATCTTACAAGATGCCTTTTTAATGTTGACGAGTTTTTTACTTAAATTAGAGCAACATCACGATTGCCTGACTGTTCCACATAACGTAGGGGCAAAAAATTATATACAAATTACATACCAAGTGTTCCTTCCATTACCGAGTATGTTTGTTGTCTCCCAACATAATCAGCGGATTTCTTTATGAGCACCTCTTTAACAGCATCTGGAGTTGAAGCCATAACGAACTTGAAGCTTCCAAGTTTCATCGAGATACGCGGCCATAGTTGTCTTTGAGACTGGAAAAAGGAGAGCTATATTAATTGTGCACCAGTCTATTATGCTTTCTTCTGAATTATCTACAACACGTAAATGATAATGATATCTTTTTTGAAGTTGAGTACAGAGAAAATCTTTGAAACTTGTGTAACTCACTGTAAAAGCGAAAAAACATATCGACCACATACATGTAGGCCAAAAGTTGAACTTTAAATGAGACGAGCCAAATTGTAATTTGGGTTGACTTGACGTAAATTAAAGTAATTCAATTTAGAATGCTGTACTATCCAGATTCTCTTCTAACTTGGCAGAATTGATAGTCATGAATATAAGGACATTTAAGCAAATTTAAACGATCGTTTAGATCATTTGAATTTTCATAAAGTGAGTTTATTGTACGGCTTCAGAAACGTCTGTCCTTCTGATGTGGACTATTCATTCTTGTACTATCATTTAGAAACCTTGAAAATTTTAGCTGTCTGTTGTATCAGACATATAGACCCTCATTAAAGTTTTCGTTACGCATTACACTATAAACTAGAAGTAATCAGACATAATGGAAAAGAGGTCGGTTAAAGTTTATTTCATCAATTCTTTTAAAAATAGTGACCTTGGACCCAGTTCACGAGACGTCGAACTTTTCACGTACCGAACTTGATACTTATTTAAACAACCCAAATGATACAAGTTCGACGGTTGATTCGGACGTAAAACTTAGTTAGTCGGACTCAATTCATTTTTTAGCTATTTTGAAAAATAGCTCATATGTCAGTGGTGTGAGCGTATGTATCTTTGTCACTTTGTGGTTTTTTATGTTCGGATGTTTGTTGCAGGAGCCAATAGGGTTAAAGGTACTATGAGTTGATGCTTAGGAACCAATGAGATCTTGGCATCTATTAAACATGGCATTGCTAAAGGTCAAACAAGGGCACTTTAAGACCGCCATATTGACTCTTCACAATTTTCTCGTCTTTTATTGCGGCTACAGGTGTTTAGAAACAATACATAGAGAATACTTGATGGAAAGTGCTAGCGTACGGTATTTACGCACGAGTTGTTGACGTATCAGACGTTTCTGATACAAAAACAACGAGTGCGTAAATACCATACAAAGCACTTTCCATGTGGTATTGTGTTTATTATATACATACTGAGACATTCATCATTTTGGCGGCCTTTTTATTTTAAATCTTTCAAAAATGTTAAAATTTACCGCTACACGCTTACCGCAAATGACAACGAAAGCGACGTATCAGCTTTTAAGTAAAAAAGTTTTTTAAAAACATAAATGGCGGTAAGGATATGAGGTAATCCAAGAACTATAAGTAATCTTAACTGTTTGTTCTCAATGCGCAATTGAAAATGAGTGAATTTAAGTAAAATGGCCGGTTTCAATATAAACTTAAGTTTAAATGAAAGGCAAAGTAGCTACGACAAAAAGCACAACA